TTTAAACACATGCCATTTTTAAAAAATCACACGTCGTTTTTAAACACACGCCATTTTTAAAAACACACACGTCGATTTTAAACACACGCCATTTTTAAAAACACACACGTCATTTTTAAAACACACGTTTTTTAAAACACCCACGCCATTTAATATACACACATGATTTTTTTAAAGCACATACCATTAAAACGCACAGTCACGCCGTTTTTTTAAAAATGCACACATCATTTTAAAATACACACGCCACGGCCTCCAAAACATACGTAATTTTGAATTATTAGTACGTTTTCTTCTAGTATACACAAAATAATAAATTTACATTCCGCGCCTCGTATTACACACATGATTTTTTTAAAAGCACATACCATTAAAACGCACAGTCACGCCGTTTTTTTATAATGCACACATCATTTTAAAATACACACGCCACGGCCTCCAAAACATACGTAATTTTGAATTATTAGTACGTTTTCTTCTAGTATAATAATAAATTTACATTCCGCGCCTCGTATGAGTGTTAGGGATCGACTATTTGAAATCATGAGGTGGCTAGAAGATCTGTTGGAAAGAAAGTTGTAGACTAGACACCGAGAGCAACAATTGCACCGGGGGGGGGGGGCACTTAATGCAAATCGTATTATAGGGACGTGTCGCCCTTTGGGGTCTTAATTTTTTGCTGTTTGGGTCTAGAATGGGGGTATAGATTTGCTTGCCTTTTGGTCCAATATCAGTTTGCCGGTCTAGAATGGGGTCTGTTTTTCCACTTTCCATGTATTTACTCACGTTTTAGTATTTTTATTGGTTTTTATTGGCATATTTTCACGTAGCGAATCGCCTTAACCGGGCGCAGAAGTCTGCAACTTTAGGCCACCATTTATCCCGTGAATGAGCCCCACAATGCAGGTGACTTGTCTGATATCAAAATTACTGAAAAACAAAGTACACATGTACTATTTTTAAAATATTTCAATTCTGTTCATGATACCTGGTATGCTATATGAGCATTAAATTTAGTTTATCAAATTATCAAAGCTGTACATATGATTCTAGCATGGCATTATGACAGTGGTACATTACAGCTTTGTGCAGTGTACTACTTGATGTTGGGCCATAATAGTAAACATAATCAGTAAACAATAAAAAATATACTATGAATGTCCACTAATGTTGACCTTGAGTTTACTGATCATTTCCTAGTCCTCCTTTCAGTCTCTGATCTCTTTGTCAAACAACTAACTTTAAAATGCTGTGTGTTAAAAAGTAAGTGCACTCTATTTGTTCTTATTTCCCTTGGATTGATCATTCATTCATTCAGATTGACGAGACCGGATGATGAGAAAATTCAACCTATAACTGAATAAATTTAGTGACAATTTGGTCTCTGATGGGATATACAAAATCACTATTTAGTCTAT